TTTCAAACATCAGTCCTCAGACCTGTCTCTGCTGTAGGTAGGATGACAGGCATAAACTACCATTACCTAGCTATGTTACTCTTTTAATCTATTTCATAGGTCCTTGACATAATTTTCCAACTTCTTCATCAAAGAGTAAACATTGTACTAAAAATGATTGAACAGTTCTGCTGTTGTTTTGACAGTATCAATACAAAGGAATCATAGTCAACATACTATACATTGAACTATGTCTGGAGCCTTGGCCTTGCACTCATGATCCTCCTAATTCAGCCTCCTGAGTGCTGGGATTACTCTCTTGAATATTAAATTTTATAAGACAATGTGTTCTCTACTGCTTTTCTTTAACAGTTGCCCACTTGAAACTTAATCCAATTACAGAAATAAGTATATTAATGCATAAATGTCAGTTTTATTACTATGTTTCTTTATATGATTCCTGGAACAATATTGAATATGTATGAAACAATCTTATAAAACTTATAATTTATGATTTACATTACTGAACATTATGTAAAATAGGAATTTTAGTCTAATTTTAGTAGTGACAATTATGAGAGTATCTGTACACCTTAATTCCAATATAACAGATGAAATATTTAACAAAATATGCAGAAATGGTTGGTGAAGTACCATTTGTAAAAAGAAAATCAATGTTGAACAAGTGAATAATAAATTTGTGTCTACTTGTTGAACTGTCTAACACAATCTCTGGTGAACCTGGCAATTATTATTACCTGCCTGACCTACTAATGCATCATTTGGAAAGGGATCCATTATCCTCTGAGCTGTCCTTTGATAAGCACTTAACAAATGAACAACGTGCAGGAAACTATTCTGAAAGGTTGTCAAGATGAAGAGTCTTCTTTTGTACTGTGGAATGGAGTCTGTTAGCTATGGTCACATGGCATATGTTAGCTATATGTCTGCAAAGCAGATAGAGGCTACTAAGCATTCTCTAATTTAGCTACTGAATTGACTGGATTTAAGCTAAACTGAAGCAGTCAGGCATGAGGTTATTCCACAGATCCTTGTTGTTCAGTGTATCCTATTCTCATCTCCGCTACCATTGTTATGTGTATTCTGAGCAAGAACACACTCCCTGCTTCCCTGAAGCCAAGGGGCATGGAACAGTGATGTGGGTGTACATTAACTCAGCTCTTTACTCACAGACACTCTCCTAGGTTTGGCAGAAGGCCAGTGGATATTGACTCATCTAAATTTCACTCTCCTTATCCACAGGTTCTAATGTCTTGGGTAGCTATGGCACTATGATAACCACATAGGCATGTTTATAAAATCTTCTGTGGCTGTTCAGAAAACCATGGACAGCCATATAAATGTGTTTTTTTTTCATTGACCATGTAAAGGGACACTTTATACATCACAGACCACGGAAGGTCCGATGTAGTCTGGGTATATAGGTCCCACTGTCAACAGGTAGCTACAGAAGAAGTTCTCACCATGACTCTTTAGTCTATATTAATCTGAACACACTAGCTCTCCAGTCTACCATGCAATACAAGTGCATGTTAATGAACTGCCATAGATCCTTCATTCACTTGTTAAGATACTAAATATAATATACATAGTGAATGTTGTGCTATAGAGTTTATTTTTTATTAAGAAACACAAAAATGTGCATGATTGCCAGAATTTGTTTAAAATTTGTTCAGGAATTTAGAAGACCTCCACTATTCTATGGGAGTCTTCAATTGTCGTGTTAGGAAACATACGAATGAGAACTATGTATAGCTTTTATATTGTGCTAGATGTATCAGAATAGTAGAAAAGTGAAAGAAAGTGTGTGTGTGTATATATATATATATATATATATATATATATATATACACTCATATATACAGATAGATAGATAGATAGATAGATACATAGATAGATACATAGATATATAGATACATACGTACATACATACAAAGATATTTTCAGTCATACTGGGTTTGAACTCCAGGTCTCTTGTATTCCAGGCAGATGACCTACCACTTCAGCCTCATCTCTGGCCATTTTTTTGGGGAGATAGGTCATTATTTTTCCCTGAGATAGGGTCTCCTGTGTTTACCCAGGGTCAGACCCAGAATAAGCTCTTCTTAACTGTGCTTCTTAGAGATCTTGACTAGTTGTTCCAAGCTAGGTATACAATTATTCATATTTTGTTGCTTGACATGGGGATCTTGCTAACTTTTGCCTGAGATGGATTCAAATTATGATCTTCTTGATATCCTCCTCCAGAGTAGCTAGAGTTATAGTCTTTAGACATTCTACCCAGCTCATTCATAATATATTAGAGGAAAGTACAATTGAGTATATTATATTCAGTCATGTAATAAGCTTTTTAACTAACGTTCACATTACCTTCTCATTTATTATTTATTACATATGCTGGAAACTGTTAGAATAGTTCATTTTCCTCAAGAAATTGAATTGCAATTATGCAACATTTTCAAATGTCTTAGGTTGTTTTAAGCCTATGGACACAACGGTAATTGTATAGAACCATTTATGGAATCTTCTAGACGATGTAGACAAAGAAAACATATACCTATTTTATGAAGCCCCCGAACTCATACGTGATGATCACTTTGGAATTTAAGAGCTTCTGCTTATACTTTAGAGACTGGACACATAATGTATAAGTAGTACTAGAGTTCACTGATTAGGACTAAGTCTGTGCTGTTTTCATGGATAAAGAAAAAAATACTTGCAAAAATAAAAGCAATTGCCACCTTAACGTTTCATCTGAGCTATTGGCTGGATCTATTTCCTCATTTCTTAGTGCATCTTATCACTCCATGTACAATTTTTGCAGAAACTTGATGTTGTCTGAAATAGTAATGTTATGCCTTTTCATGTTTTATAGAGGATTATTTTGGAAATGAGTTTCTGTTACACAAATATATAATTGATGACTCCCAATATCATTTGTTCTGAACAATCTTAAGTGTGAGTAATGTTACTTTGTGAGACTTGTAAATGAAATAACACAATGAACAGAACCGGAATGGAGCTCCTTGTGAAGATAACTTGTTATATTTGTTTTCTTCTGGATTGGGTGGCAGTGAACCAGGGATCATGTAAACACTACTGTCTCAATGAAACAGCATGTGCTGACCAAGTCCACAGCCTTAGAAATCAAAGCAGAGGGCTACAGTAAATTTCCCGTCCTTTCCATCATGGAAGGCATGTCAGGTGTCTGTGGGAATATTCGCACCCTCTGTTTGGACTTGACTTGTAGGTAGGCTTTTGCATGAGTGAGTTGACATATGAAAAACGGCTATGTAAATATTACTGAATGAGGAAAGTAAATGTAAATTTTCGATCAACCAAGATAAGTACGCATCAAAACAATGCTTTGTTGCCCATAAAAGAAAACCATTTTGATTGCAGATAAATTTAGTTTTTCCAAAACAAATTTATCACTGTTTTGCTACATAAATATGTATAAACTTGTGCAACATATATGAAAGTAAAATCACTCACAGGAATCTTTTCTGGAAAATGAACATTAGGAAGTATTTTTGCCTTTATGTTTATAATTATTTTGTTGTGATTTATTCTGCCACTGGAAACAGAACAGGATTTTTTTTGCTTCAGAATTCAAATACATAAAGAAAGTATTCAAAAATTTTGTGTATATAAAGATAGAAAGAAAATATGTCTTATGTTCTTTCTTTTATCCTTATAGTCTTTGCATCAAGATACATAGCAATAAAAGTAAGTTTTCTTTTAAAATTTCCTATTGAAAGTTGGGTATCAAACTAGGGGCTGGTGGCTCATGCCTGTAATCCTACCTACTCAGGAGGCTGAGATCTGAACATTGCTATTCAAAGCCAGCCAGGGCATGAAAGTCCTTGAGACACTTTTTTTCCAATTAACCACCAAAAAACTGAAAGTAGAACTGTGTCTCAAAGTGGTAGAGCACTAAGCCTGAGTAAAAAGAACTTGCAAGCAGAGTCCAGGACCTGAGTGCAAGCACCAGGACTGACAAAATAAAAAAGAAAAGTTGAATATCAGCCAGGCGCTGGTGGCTCATTCCTGTAATCTTAGTTATGCAGGAGACTGAGATCTGTGGACTGTGGTTCAATACCAGCCCAGGCCAAAAAAAAAAAAAAAAAAGAAGAAAGTGTGAGACTCTTATCTCCAGTTAACTACCAATAACGTAAACGTTCAGCAGTGGTGCTATGGTTCAAGTGGGTAAGCTCTAGCCTTGAGCAAAAAAGCTCAGGTACAATGCTTAGGCCCTGAGTTCAAATCCTAGGATCAGCATCCCCCCCAACTGAGTATCTTTCCCCATTTTAATTTTACATTACTCTGACAAGAGAAACAAAACAAAACTAAGACTCATTACATGAGGCTTGGACACACTTCCATGATTAGCTGGGCTATATAAATATTGATGGCTTCATTCTTCCTGCTCTGAGACCTTGAAAGATGAAATGGAGTTACAATTGTTTTTGAAAAGTATGCTACACAAATAGCTGGCCTGATGGGAGTCAAAGTTACACAGTAACCTGTACACAGATGGGAGTAAAGGAGAGACATTTTCTTCTGGAAAAAAAAATTCTGAAGAATTTCAATCTGTTTGTTTTCCCCAAAATGATTGGAAGCGGGGTAAAATCTCAACATGAGCTTCAAAGACTCGTCTTTGTGAGGAACCAAGAGTTTCCTGAAATGGAAATTTTATTGCCCAATGGCTGTAACAGTGAGCTGAAACTTGAGTGGTAACTCAATTCTCTAAGAGGACAGATGGATAGACAGATAGATAGATAGATGGATAGACAGACAGACAGACAGACAGACATATAGATAGATACATAGATACATAGATAATAGATAGATAGAGATATAGGTGTCTATATCTATAGATAAATAGATATGAATATGTAGAAACAGACAACTCAGACTTCCTCTCACTTCAGCAAAGAAGTTATTTTTTTTTTCAAAGCACTTAGGAAGCTCCTCCTCTACCCCTCAGCTGGAAAGGCTCAGAGCAGGGAGTCATCAGTACAGCCACCTGCTAGGCTATAACGGAATTCCTGAAGGCTGGAGACCACGTAGAAGTGGACCAGAGCAGCCACCACCACCAGCACGTGGAAAATCTGATGAGACTGGAGCCATAGGTCAAATTTCCCTGGAAAGAAGCGCTCAGGAATCCGAGCAGCGTAGAGACAGGCTCCGGTGATGTACATAAAAGCCATGAGCAAGAACCAGCCCATCCGGCCCACTGTGACAGCTTTGACAATGCCCTCCACGATGGTTAAGTGCATGGTAGGCACCACACCACTCAAGCCCAGGCCCAGGAACACTCCTGCTCTGGTCTTCCGGTGGTTAGGAGTGGCGAACCTGTCCCACTGTGCCACGATGATGGAAGAAATGCCCAGCACACAGACGGTGCAGAGGTAGACCAGCCGAACCTTTGGGGAGCAGTAGAAGCAGTAATAGAGCCAGGGGACAAAACTCCCCATAATTAGCAGAGCGATCCCAGAATAGTCCAGTTTGGAAAACGTCTGGGAGACTTTCTCTGAATGACAGCAGACGGTGTGGAAGAGCCAAGAGAAGCTGAGGCAGAGCACTGCGCCCAGAAAGAACACCCCGAACACCACCTTCTCCTGCAGGGGGGCCATGAAGTAGACGTTCGGTCTGAGCATGGTCAAGATGCCCAAAAAGAGAAACAGCAGGAACCCGAGGAGATGGGTCCAGATGTTGCCCGTTTCCGTGTGGATGCGGAAGATGCTCTTGAAGCAAGCCCGAAAGGAGGGCATGGGTGGTCGATGGCCATGGAGCAGGTAGTCATTGTCCTTCAGCCAATCAGGAAGCGTGTCATACGGGATGACCCGCCAGCTGCCCTCCCACACCTTATACACGAACTCCTCCATCTTCTCCATGGCATGGTGGGCCTGCAGAGGGAGAGGCAATACCCGCATCTCCTCCTCTTCTTCCTGGGACACGGGGTACGCTTGCTTTTCTTCAGCTTGAGTTGAGTTGATCGTAACACACTTGGCTTTCTCTTCCAGCAAGGGTCGCAGGGTGGCCAGTCCCACCAAGTCAGCCTCCCGGTGCCTGGCAGAAGCCCCACTGCCCTGGGTTGCCACAGCCTTGTGGTGGGAAGACATCCTGCTGGTACTTCAGTACCCCGCAGCTTGGGCTTAGGGCCAAGTTGAGGGTGTTCGGCACCTGGGGAGGGGCAGCGATCTTCTGGAGATGGAGTTTCTGCTGGTGGAGGGTGGGGTGGGGTGGAGGAGGAGGCGTGGTGGTCCCCAGCTCTACATCTCCATCTCTGGGTGATGGAGGCGGCCTGTGGTGTAGAGGCCTCGGATCTTCAGCCCCTTCGCTTGTGCCGGAAGGAGCGCGAGACCACGCCGCGTCACCTCCGCCACCATCTCCATCACCAGCTCGAGGAGGCTCAACCTCACCTGCTGCCGAAAAAAATTCAGCTTATAGAGCTCTCCTACCATAGGATGCTACTGATGATTAGCCCTAGTTGGCAGGCAATGTTCATCATAAACTTTATGGGAAAGAAGAGTATGGTTAGAATCCTGGCTTTGCTAACTTAGAATCGTATTTTTTGACTTCGAACAAGCTACTTAATCATTCTAAGGTGCACTGTTGTGGGCTGAATGTTGTCTTCCCTGGATTCAAACATTGAAGTCCTAAGCCCCGATATAAATAGTAGGGCTGTATTTGGAGATAGAATGTTTTTAGAGCTAGTTGAGATTTAAAAAAAAAAAAAAGGACTTTTATGTAGGCATTAATTGTGTGTCAGTAAAGTCCTTGTAAAAAGAGGAAATTAAAACAGAGACAGAGACCAAACCATATGAAGAGACAAGTGAGAATTTGGCCATTTACAAGCCAGAGGAGAGAGGCCATGAAGAATCTAAATCTGCTTACACTTTGGGCTCCCATGTCAGCCTCCAGAGACATCAGAAAATAAAATTTAGTTGTTGTTAAAGAATCCCTGGTTGGGGTATTCTTTTTAAAGCAGCCATTGCAACTAGGAATTGTACGTTTGCCTTTTTCCTTTAATTTTTCCATTCTTTTTTTGTGTCATTATTGTGCTTTGAATTCAGGGACTGAGAATTTTTTTCACTCAAGGATGACACTCTACCAATTGAACCAAAGATCAACTTCTGGCTTTTCACTGGTGAATTGTACATAAGAGTTTCATGGATTTTCCTGTACGAGCTGTCTCTGAACATCAATCCTCAGATCTCACCCTCCGAATTAGCTAGGATTATTGGTGGCATGAAACTCAAATGCCTGGATGGGATTATGCATCCTTCTATTAATGAGGAATATCAAGCTATCAAATTAAGGAATGTCTTCATGATTTATTAAATTTTGCTGATTACTCTTGATTACTGGTAGTTTTCCTGCCCTTGATCCTGAAGCATAATATTGGAATCCTTCCTCAAGTAGGGAATTCTGGTCCATGAGCTCATTTGGTACATGACCAGAGAGATATGTATGTTTCTCCATGCTTCTCACAGGATGCCCCTGGCAGTCTGCCTATGTTGATAATTTTGTATGGACTGCAAATGATGTTTTACATTTCCAAATGGCCTTTTGCAGAATGACTTTCCTCATGCATGACTGACCTGAAGTTTGGCTCTTTTTCTCAGAAAATTTGACTATGTGATTCCAAATGGGGTGCTCTGGCAACGGTTGATATAAACTGACCTGGTCAATTGTTACCATTATTTTTTTAGCAAAATATAAACAATATCTCACTCTTTAGAAGTATGTGTACATGTTTGTCAGGAAGATCATTCACTTGCAGACAAATAAAGTCTGTAGCTGTACGTTATTGAGCACTTCAGAAAGCACAGTTAAAATCTTTCTGCAACATAATATTAATAATGCTTAATTCAGTTTGCATAAAATAAAACAAAAAAGAACGGAACAATGTTTCATAAAATAATAAGAGGGCCTTTATTGGATTGGGGAACTAAGGAGAAAAACTTGTGAATAATATAATTGCTTACAGTTAAAGGCATTCAAAGATATAAAGGAAATAGAGTACAAGTGATCACAACTATAACCCTTGCTACTCAGGTAAATGAGATTTGAGCCTTGGGGTTTGAAGTCAACTGGAGTAGAGAAATCCAAGAGACTCATCTCAAATTAACCAACAAAAATCTGAAACTGGATAAATGATACAAGTGGTAGAACACCAGCAATGTATAATAATGCTAGCAGAACAGAAGGCTCTGAGTTCAAGTCCCAGTACCTCCCTGAACAAAATTACTAGATGGGTACGGGTGAATCATGATTGCTATGCTAGCTACTCTGGAGGCTGAGATCTGAGAATCACAATTTGAAGGCAGCCCTTCAAACTGTGGGCAGGAAAGGCTGTGAGACTCTTCTCTCCAATAAACTATTTAGAAAAATCTGGAACTGGTTCTGTGGTTTAAGTGGTAGAGAAGTAACCTTAGCACAAAGATGCTCAGGGATAGCACCCAGGCTGAGTTCAAGCCCAAGAATGGCAAAATAAATAAATAAATAAATGAAATTACTAAAGCAACCACTAAATGACTAGGTATGGCGTTTATAGGGTCTAATCTAAAAGAAGAAGAGTATTTTGAGCCCTGAAACAAAAGATTAAAAGGTTACTCATGAAATATAAAATAGAGCAATTTTTAAAATCACATGAAAACAAAATATATATGTGTTACAATTTATATGTTTATCAATATGGTGATATTGTTTATACGTAAATATATAAATCTTTATATATGTACATATTCACATATAATGATATATGTATCAGCAATGACAATTTGCATAATTTTATTTTGTTACTATCAAACTTTGGTATATTCTATTCGTATTCAAAAAATTCTGTTTGGCTGAAAATTCAAACTAAATATATATTTTTAATGACCACTATTATGCCAGGCTTTTTTAATAGCCACTATTATGGCAGGCTCTGTGGCTCATGCCTGTAATCCTAGCTACTCAGGAGATTAAGAGCTGAAAAACCTAAGAATGAATCCAACCTGGCCTGCAAACTCCATCAGATTCCCATCTCCAAAATAACTAAGATAAAGGAAGGCTGGGGGTGTGGTGCAAATGATAGAGCACCATGCATGCAAGTGCCCTGAGTTCAAACCCCAGTACTAAGAAAAGAAATACAGGAAAGAAAATTGCAACCACCAATATGATTGAGACATCCACTCATATTAATAAACATTTTTGTTGAAATTCTTTGGTTTTTCAAGTAATACTACAGATGGATTTCACATTCAAGTTATCACTTTCCAAGATATTTAGAACCATTTTATTCTTGGAACTTTTGTCATTGAATTGATGCACTTTTAGTGGACTGGGTATGTTTTACAATTTTTAAATATGGATAAATATACATATTTATGTAAAGTATTCCTATTTCTCCAAGATAAATATATAAAAGTATGTTAGGAAAAGATAAGATTGTTTCATACTCGATACAGACATTTCCTTTTAAAATAATTATTGAAACAAAATTCTTTTATTTTAAAAATAGAAGCATGTTTATGTATGAAGGCTTTCATTATACACTCTAATTCACTTTTTAGAATTTTTGGTACACACTTGTTTGATTGGCATTGTATTTTTGAGCCTGTCCACTTTTCAACTCATTAACTAGAGATGAAATTTTGTGGATTTTTCTTTCTGGCCAGGATTTCAATTGTGATACTGCAGCCCTCAGTCTCCTGAGAATTAGGATTGCAGGCATGAGTCTTGGACACCTGGCTGTACATTTTCTTTATCTTGGTATTCAGAGAAAAAAAACAAGGTACTACTCATACTTTTATAGCTTTCTAAGAGCTATTTCACTGGTCCACCATGTAGGTTTATTCTATAAACTGTTTAGTGAGCATTTCAACTATGTGTAAATTTATACATTCCACATAGTGTTGCATAAATTAGACAACAAGTTGCAATTTTAATACAAAGTTAAATAGATTTCCATTTAATTTTAGCTTCATTAAAATTTATTAGCAATACTTTAGTTATTTTTCTTTATTTGGTAATTGCTGTAGTTTCGCCATTGAAACTGTTGTAGTATTTAGAAGTGTGACTTCCTGGATAGAACAGCCCAAGCAATAAAACTAATTAATGAAGGTTTAGACATCAAACAATACAACAGAGTCATAATAATGAAAACAGTAAGATACTGAAACAAAATGTGTTTATACTCTTGCTTTCCCTAGACTATGAATCTCCTATTTAAACTTCCCACATAGTTGGCATGACAGGCATGTGACACCATTCCTAGTTCATTGACTGAAATGATGTCTCTCTAAAGTTTGCCTGGGCTGTCTTCAAATTGTCATCTTCCAGATTTCTGCCTCCTAAGTACATGGGAATACAGAATACAGGTATGAGAAACTTTCTTTCTAAGAGAAACTTTATAGAATTAGTAATTTTTTCTACAATTTCTATACATTTCCAGCTACATATATTGTCAGTTGTGGGACTTGAACTCAGGGCCTGGGTGTTGTCCCTGAGCCTTCTTGTGCTCAAGGCTAGTGCTCAACCACTTGAGCTACACTACCACTTATGGTTTTCAGTAGTTAACTGGAGACTCATGAGGACTTTTTTTTTTTTTTGCCTGAGCTACCTTTGACCCTCAGATCTCAACCTCCTGAGTAGCTGGGATCATAGGCATGAGACACTGGTGCCCATCCAGCTTTATTTTTAGTTGGATATAATGTTAGCATTTGTTTGATTGTTAAGTACTTTTAAAATATATATACTAATAAATTAAGCTCTATTCATAAACTATATCAAGTTTTAGCTTCTATATCATGTCCCATATAATCTATTTTTAGGAATTTCATGTAAGCATTTAATTTTTTTTCTGTGGAATTTATGGTTGACACAAGGAATGAATACAAACTATTCTTCTAAAAGTGCTATGATACCTATTCTACTATGAAGTACAGATGCGAAAGCTGGAAAAGTGGTTCAGTGGTAGAGCATTTGCCTTGCATGCGTGAGGCTTTGGGTTTGATTCCTCAGCACCACATAAGCAGAAAAACCCAGAAGTGGTGCTGTGGCTCAAGTGGTAGAGCACTAGTCTTGAGCTGAAGAGCTGAGGGACAGTGCCCAGTCCCAGAGTTCAGACCCC